CCCTTCTGTCGACAAAAATAAATAAATATATGAATTTTAAAACCATTTCACTTTTATTCGTCGACAAATGTTCTTATATTCCTTATAAATTTTATTTAATAAATCGTTTTGAATTATTTGGTTTTTACATCGGATTTATTGAATCATTGACGCATGTCCACATACACCACTAATAAGTGCTCAAGTTGATTTATCTTCTACATATGATTAGTATAGTGTGATTTTTACAAAGTGACTAACTACATAACTAGTTACGCCAAATCTATAAAATTAATAGTTTGCCTATTAATGTATTCACTACTAATTCTCAAAGAGTTTCTAGTTTGGTTTTCGTTTGTGAAAAAATCGTAAAGATGAATGATTTTCGATCGGCTCAAAAACTCTTTTGTTAACTTTTCACCAAAAACAAATTAATATGAGTCGGAATGCGACTAATTGTATATTTTGTTAAATTATTTCGTTCTTCAGGTAAACTGTCCATTTCAAAGATATTTTCTGTTAGTAGTAGTAAATTACTCCAATTAATAACCTTCCCATATTACAAGATACGAGCCACTAGTCATTCTTTTCTTTTATTTTTATTAATAGAAAGGTGACAATCGCGCGGTCATATCAAATATAAAAATCAGAATAATGATTATGGTGGAGAGTTTAGCTAGAATTAGAAACATGCCAAACTTGAATATAACGAAAAATAACCATTTCTCAAAAAGATTAAGTTAATAATTAGTTTTTGTTATTTTTTCAATTTCGTATATATTATTAACGTAAAAAGTAAAATTAAAACACAATGAGAATTTCGAAAATAAACTAAGATATGCACACGTGACGTTCATTTCTAGATAAGCTCGAATAATAATGATATTTGTTTCCTAGTATATGAAAAATATAAGGCTATAGAACAAATGTCTATTTTCAAATACGTAGACTAATAAATATTTATTTAGATATACAACATTATTTATGTTTTTTCAATACTCAAAACCTTCGAGAAAATGTTATTTCAATGTTTCCGAAAAAACATTATTTGTGGTGGCAAAATGATTTTAAACCGTGTCGACAAAATTTTATTCTTTAATAGTACCTTTAAAAAAAAAATTTTAATACTTTAATCTTTCAAATGCATTTATGAACAAGCATGTACGTAACTTTCTAGTAACATCGGAAACAGTGCCATAGTTGTCTTGAAGACGTTTTTTTTTTTTGTGTACTAAGAGTTGTCTTGAAGACATGCGTGATTGAGGCCACAAAATCCCAGATATTAATTAAATACATTAAAAGTTTATATAATGGTATAAATAATTTTTAAAGCTTTAAATCGACAGAAATCTAAGGTCGATGAGGCCACGACAAAAAAAGACAGTAGATATCACACCAAACACGTCTGATTGGGGTTATGATTCATAGGTTCTGATTCATCGTTAAACTTATAATAATATTTTGTTGACCCAAAATTGTAGATTCGTTTATATTCTCTGATGATACTGTTCTAAGTCTTTTGTCTCCTTCTCTTCTCTCACGTGTAAGTGCTTATGTTTCTCTATTACAGTTTCCAGATCCCGACACAAGTGTTCAGTTTCATTGTCCCCACTCTCGTTAGAGCATCATTATTGATGATTTTTATTGGATATCATTAGATATAAAATTATTAAAACACACCTTCTCTCTTCCTTTTACTCAATTTTATACTTTCTCTTTCATATTTTTATTCAACTTTTATTAATTTTATATTTAAACACACCCCAACTAAAGTTTAAACTCTCTCCAAAAGTATCAACCCATTAATACTTTTGACACTCTCTCTCTAAAAGTATCAACTCATCTTCTCTTTTTATTCAAATTTTATTAATTTTATATTTCAATACACTCTATTATTTCAACTAAAAACACTTTTTTTTTTTTCATTTTACTCAAATTTTAATAATTTTATATCTAATGATACCCACAAAATCTCATCAATAATGATGCTCTTAGCCGACGATGATGCTCTTGAAAAACAGTTTCAGGCTTATATTAATTTATGAGTAAAACGATTGTGCATGTCATATTGTTACGTAGATCTATACACTATATGTAACACGATTGTACATTGAAAATTGGAAATTAAAGATCAATAGTAGATTCCCGTTTCCGTTTATTGAGATACGAGATTGGATGATTTCGTAGTTTTTATTAGTATACTACGTACCAACATCACAACAGCATCGTTAATTATAGACCTATAGTAAATTAACAGAGCCAATCCATGCTAGTGTATTAGTTGAAGGATTTATCTTGGGATTGTACTAGTTGAGTTCTTACAAGTTTTGGAAATTAGTGTAAACCACAACAATTCAATTATAATTAATCACAATGATGATCATATTTTTGTACATATACTCTGAAGATTAGTTTAGATAACAACGGTTTAATTATAACCAGTGAACATCTGATAATAGTACCTAATTTTTCTAATTCTATAAATTAGTTTAGATGTTGGCATGGATTATGATCCTTAGTTTATAAAACCTCCGTATTACATGTAATGTGTGCTTAGTCCCAAAACAATATTACATGTAATGTGAATTTACTAAATAGATTTTCGACGCAATGACAAAATTAAGTTTCTTTCAATATTATCTAAAGTTAAAACCTTTTTGAAAATCAAAAGTTTACATAAACTTTACAAATGTTAGATGTTGTTTTCTGTTTGCATCATATTATGAATTAGATGATTTTATCGGATGTCTACTAAAGAACTTGTAAATTAATGATAACATATTAATACTACTAGAAAGTAGTTGATTCAAAAAAATAGGTAATAACGTACTAGATAACTATTAATATTCTAGAAACTAGTCAATTCAGAAAGTTATGAGCTATTTTTTTAATTAAAACATCTTGTCTTTATAAAATACGTTAATAAGTTTGAGAAAATATTGACGTACGATAATAACTCAATGGACCAAATCATACCATTCAAATTAATACAAACCAAATCCCAAATATTCAAACATACGAGAAACACCAAAACATTGCTCGAAAGTTTAAACCATACAATCTTTTACGTAACAAATAGAATGTTACTTTTAGTTCATGTGACCAACGGTTAAACATGAACCAAAATCATCAAAAGCACTCAATAATAAGCTCTTTGTTACCTTTTGGAAGTTTCATCAGTTTGGCTACTGCCGTTTGTATTTTCAACTTCTTGTTTGCAGGACTCAACGACATCTTGATCATCAACTTCTCTGTCACCGTTCCTTGTGTCACCAAAAATGAAGCTAACACAAATTCTTTTTTATTTAAACCACTTAAGGTATACATCCACATAGTTTTCACGCGAAAATCATCACTAAAAAAGAACTTTTCCTCTTTCAGCTTCTTCTTTTGTGCTCCTCCAAAAGAAGATGGTCCTTCATTAGGAACATTATTATGCTACATACACAAGAACATACATATAAGCATGCATCACGATTTATAGATTCTAAAGAATAGTGATAAAAGCGAGAAAATTGATCAACTTTATCTAACTAAAATTGAAGAATAAAATGAATGTACCTTAAAGAATATCTCGAGCTTTCTCATTTCTCCACCCCACGCATCACAAACTTCCTTTAGCATGTAAAGTTCTCTAGAATTCCTCAAATCCACATTCACCGATAAAGATTTAAACCGCATCAAGCAGTAAATATCTCTGGCCACCACGAATTTATGCCAAATGTTTTTGATATCCTTTGATTCATATAAGAAAATTAAACATATAAACAATATATTAGTACCATTATATACATATATACACACATAAATGTAAATTATTGTACTTGTACCTGAACATCACAAGACATATTGTAGCAAATATAAGGTATACTTTCGTGTGTAACCTGATAATGCTTCTTTAACCCGGTTATTCTAGGGGCTGTCAGGACGAAGTTACTTCCCGTAACAAAAATACAATGAATCGCAAAGATATCCAGAAGAGTTGTGAACAAGTGCAAGCCAGATGCAATAGCCTTAGATTGTTGTTATAGATCTTTAGACAACCAATTTGGCTATACCAAGTGATGTCTAGTACTAGTACCTTGAGGAAATGGCACGATGCAATGACTTTGTTGAACACATCAACCTCAGCACATATTTGATCAAGTTTAAGAGTCATTAGATTATGACATTTATTGAACGAATGCGCAAAATCTAAATCGTATCGATATAGGAAGAGCGATGTGAGAGATGGATGAGAGAAAATGTTTGGAGACAATTGGAGCACATTGCTACCTCTCCTACGATGACTACGAATGTTTAGAGGTACGAGACATTTTGTATGTTTCACTTCAGTTAATAATCTGATCCAACTTTCTAGCGTACCATCTTTACATTGGTATGAGAAATGTTGGATTTTGCAGCATTCCAGATAACCATTGTGATTCTCTATAACCTTCAAAAGAAATACAAGATTAATGATTAAAAGAACAAG